GAAAAGCTGGACAAGGGAGGTATAAAACTTGAGCCTTTTCTGACCTTTAGATTACCCTAGGAATGGTATGAGTGTAACAATGCATTCCTTAGTGAGGAAATTTAAAACACATCAGTCATTCTTGATATTTATGTTGAAGCCAAGATATTGAATAAAATTTCAGTGTGGAGTCTTTTCTTCCCTGTAAACACATGATCCGTTGTGTGTACTGATAAAATGGCATTTACAATTTAAAAAAAACAGACATGACCCAAACACCTTTTTACTGAAGTTGTACAGGATGTGATTTCGTGTCACATACCAGCCTTGTGTGGAGATGTGGTGTAGACTTTTTTCTAGCTGTTAAATGAATCTGTATGTGTAGTGAGGAAATCTGTGGAGTATTCTCAGCTTCTCTCTTCTTTTGTCTTGTGCTTGTGATAGGACTTGCAGAAGAAAGGTATTTTATAGCAGGGGGAGTTGTTATATAACTGTTGTCAAGTGCTTTTATTACTGTACGTCACTGTGTTTTCAGTCATGAAAACCATGAAGCTGTAGCTTTTGTGCTGTGAGAATAGACTGATAGAATTAATACTTTATAATTTTGCTTAAATGTGTATGCATTGCATTTTCAGATATGGGATAGTTCCCTCTCTTAGGAACTTGCTCCTGCTACCTTCTTTCTCACCAGCAGAGGTCTAGCTAAGACAACCATTTCAAAACTGGATCAGGGTGAATGTCTTGCTGATGCAAGACAAGACATGTTTTACTTACTGGCAATGTCTGTAAGTTCCTCTAGCTGTGGTTTCCCTGCCATACCTGACCAGTGGGACAGATGTGATTGTACTAGAAACTGGAAATTCAGAAACACTTGGAGAATCAGTAGTGTGTGGTGAGGAGCCATGAGCAGATGGCTGTATTAGAATCCCAAAAACCTGAGGGCTCAGTGCATTGCGTTCCATCAGGGACATAAGAAACTCATTGAAGACAAAATGTTTTTTTGTATACCTGCAACTAAACACGCTGAACCGTACCAGTATCGACCTCTGGTGAATCAACAGTCTCAAATTCTCAGACATAGTTAGCAACCAAGAATCTCACATTTTATGTACAACACCTTAAGAAAAATACCAGTTAGCCTCTGTAGCAATGTCAGTGAGGACAACACTGGCATAACTGGCAAATTTCCTAAACCTCACTCTTAAGTTCAATTTCTAACCGCTATAATGTGCTATTATAGCTCACATTACATATAGCAGAAAGTTTTAAATGCAGCAGCAAAGGCTGCATGAGCATACCTGAGAAAAAGTGAATTGGGCTAACCTGGCATTCAGGCTGATAAACATGCACAAAAGCCAGTTCTCATAGCATTAGTGATTGCAAGCTGTTACTTCCCAGTCCCACTGCCCTCATCCCACTGGGCATTTGTGAAAAGAGAAGGGTGGAGACACAGAAATTGACTTGTGAAGCTCAGTAGCAGCAGGCACAGCACAGTGCAGCTCTTGCCCTTCCTAGCACTCAGTCTAGTCTGAACTCTTACGCTGGCACCTCAACACTTATCTGCTGCAAGGAAATACATTCATTTTGTCTCTATAGGCAGATGTAGATGTTTCCATAGGGATACTGACTGGATTTTGAAAACAATAACTTTCTATGATTGTCACAGTAGCTTATTCTACTATGACAGAAGTCTACAAGCACACTACTAGTTTTAATTCTCAGTATTTATTATTGTTTCAGTTGTACAATTTCAACATTAGGGAACAATACATAATGTGCAGGACATGGCTTGCATTGTTCCCAGGTTTTAAAGTCATGTGTCAAGGTTCAGGCTGCAGAACAGAGTTCACCATTCCTAAAATAAAAGCAGGTGCATCCAGTATTATCTTACTGCAGTATTAGCACAGTCTTGATTGGCAAAAACATTAGGAGCACCACCTGAGATTAGGATATTGCATGTACCAAAGGATTACTAACATCCCTGCCCTTCTGCCTGTATAGCAATTGTTCACATCAAAATGACATCACTAGAAAAACATTGTTAAGCAGTTCACTACTTGGTTTTAAAAGTTAGTGAAAGGGTATAGCTAGAGAAACCTCACAAAATGAAACTACAAATCTGATACATGTTTTGCATAGTAAAATTTATGTCAGAAGAAACTTGGTTCTCTGGATTTTTTTTTTTTTTTTGACTTGCATCCTTTGAACTTTTGCTTTGAGCTGAACAGTTACTCAGAACACTCTCTCATTCAGTGTTCAGACCACTTGGTCACTCTAGACACCTTTCCATTTCTTTGGTAACTTTCTTTTTCTTAACATCTCTTTTTTTATTCCTCCTACAGCAATATACTGTCCCAGACATCCACTCTCTCCCCTTTGGCCACTCCTATTTATTTTCTTCAGCTTTTCCCTCATCTATAATCACTTACACTCTCTTATGTTTCTCTTTTCGACATGTCTGGGCTCATCTTCAACCATTCCAATTTTCTCTTGATAAAGAAAAAATGCCACAGTCTTCTTGTTGCATCCAGTTGCTATTTGCAATACCACTTCTACATCCTCTAGAAGCATTCACCTCTAAGGGCCTCATTCTTTCCATATTTACACATGGATGTAACCCAAATAATTCTAACAACTTTACATACAAAGTGACAGATGAAAATCCAACCCACTGCCTTGAATCATAGCTGAAAAGAGAGCCCATAGGAGGAAACAGAATGAAATACTAAAATCTCAATTTAATAGTGCCCATTCCTTCTCTTGAACTTGCTTTTTCTTTCCCTCTTGATATGGAGCTGAACATCATCTCAGTGTCTCAGCTTTCTGTCACAATAGCATTAGACAAGTTTGATCACGTTTGCTGCTTTAATATGTTGACATAGGTTGTTCAAAATTCCCATTATCTTCTAAAGACTTTTTTAACTACTGCTTCCTACCTGTTGACACCAGAATGGGAAAGGGAAAAATATTCACATGCATCCCACTTAATGCAGAGGCTGCTGAGATAAGCACACTTTAAAAGAAATGTTATAGGGCAGCCTGGATCACTGAGCATGAGTTTTGCAAGCAAGTTTTGCACACCTCCTGGGTACAAAATGAAAGCTGTTCTTTCTTCACAGTCTCTTAGGCTTTTTATTTCAAGTCAAAAGCAAGTAAGTTTTATTTCCGATTGTCTGCAAATTATTTTTTGCTTGTAATTGTAACTTTCATCTCTGTTTCTGTTACAGGTTTGGTTTGTTTAGTTTTGGGTTTTTGTTGGTTTTTTTTGTTGTTTTTTTTTTTTTTTGTTTGTTTGTTTTTTTGTGAAAGTTGAACAATACAAGCCCAACATTCAATAGTATAGGGAGCCAAGCCACATTTTGCTCATTTGCCCCAGTCCTAGCATTGGCAACAGGAAGGAACGCTACTACAAATAGACAGAAAACTCCTGTTTTCATAAAGCTCTGCCCAAGTACAGTATACCATTCAGATTTTAAGTCTGCACACAAGCCAGCTACTTGCATACTTTAAGAACCGCTTTAAGTATTTAACTGCACATATTTTTTACTATGGCCTTAGGCTTATTTTTCTGTAAGTTAAAATATTTTAAAGGAAAATACTTCATAAAAAACACTATACATTTTGAGATAAGCTATTCCTTGTGAAAAGTGCTAGGTTAGTGCAGTCCTCCATGTAGCCAAAGAACATAGACAGCAACAGCATTGGCATCTCTGATCTGCATGCAGCAGTTGAATTGCCAGTGCATGGAAGGAGGAGAAGGGTGATTAGCCTCTAGTTTGATTCTCTGCTGACATACACAAGGATACCAGTTCTGGAGCTGACGGTTGCAATCTGAGCACCTGTCAGTCACAGCATGATTGCTAACACTAACTAAACCTGACATAACTGTACAGAACAGACACCAGTTTTAACAACTTAATTTCTTCCCTTCTTAGTCAATTTTCAGTCATCATCCTTGGGACAGAGAACCAGATATTCCAACACACTTTCCCTGCACCTTTCAGTATCACATATTTCAAGTAAAAAATATCTATTTTCAAACACTGTAGCTAGTGATTTCACTTTTGCCTACAGCGTCATCCATACTGTATCATGTCTGGAATGAGCTCTTTTGTATTACATTAATGTTTTACATTTTCAAAGCACATCCAAAAATCAGCTAAATAAGGATTGCATTAAACTCTACAATTTAATTATAGTATACGATTATATATAGTATATATATTATATCTGTTTATTTCTATGGCCAAGTTACAAGCCCCTGAGAAGAGAGTTTATGCAGAATCACTGGCACCAATAACACTATGGATACAGCTTTATTTTGATGTAATTAGCAGAAAAAGCACCTGAAATTATTTATATATTTATAATAGATTAACTCTTTGGATATTTTCATAACTATATTAAGAATACATTTGTTAATCTTAACATCCATGGGAAAGATTATATTTACAAATACATGAAGACTTGATGCTGAAAGAGCAAGAAAAGAAGGTGCCTGATCCTGTGCCCTTATATACGTGGGCAGTGCCTTTAAATCAACTCACACGGGTGCGGGTCCCGTGTCTGAATAAAAGTTACAGGTTCAGGTCCATAATACTTTATGCATACCTGATTTTGACAAACTATTTAAACTATTTTTACAAATACATTCTACAGTAACTGTGTCTACAGGCTCAGGTATCCAGCCCTGAGAGAAACACGAAGTCTGTTCCCTGCATTTGTAAAATCTACCAGATGGGGCACATGTCTAGAAGTATCTGCTTTTGCCACTCTACAGTGCATCAGACAACTAGCACAGGATATGATCCCCTCAAGTGTCCCAGTCTCCATTAGGCTTTATCGTTCACTGGTTCTAAGACTTGGACAAGGGAGTCTTAGTGAAAGAGTAAGAGCTTACTTAAAATGCAAAACAAGGCAAAACCCAATTCAATATAGACTCCAATCTGCCACCCAACTCGTGTTTTTATATTGACCTATAGATGTTGCTGTCCAAAAAAGAAGACTTCTGTCAAGCTAACTTCATTACATTATCTGTGAAAATGAAACCATATACTTTCAGAGTACAGGAGCTTCTTATATTGATTACATTCTTCATTAAAGTTCTCTCTTAACACTGCAAATACAGTGTTGGTTTGCAACATATTTTAGAAGACAAACTAAACATGTTTGGAATACTTTGACATGAAAATGGCATTCTTTCTTTCCAAACTGAAAGAATGTGAATTTTGGTAAGTTAATAATGACAAAATTTCTGCAGGTACAAAGTGCAAATTAATATATGTTACCTCCAAGTATTTTACAGTGCTACCTATGGGGAGTTTCAAAGCATCCTTCATTTTGATGTGATTTACCAGTTGAATAGCACATTTTGACCAAGAGTCATAAAATATATTTGACTGCTGCCTCCTGACTGCACAGATGCAAAGAACACCTTGAGAGGGGGGAAAAAAAAAAAAAGAGATATATTACTGCCAGTTTACATTTATGAGAATATTTTTACCCATACAGGAAATGTGAGAGAATGCCACAGCCCCAGATAAAAGGATATACATATATATCACAGTTCTTTCTAAAGTGAAACTCTGCTTGCGATACAATTGGGATATATATTTTGGTATATTTCTTTTTCCTATTTGGAAAGACACATGAGAACATTAACAAATCATTAAACAGTTTGGGGGCCCCAGTTTTCTAAATTTGTCAGTGGGATTAAGCAGGTTTCATAGAACATTTATCAAGAAATCCTGCTTCATAATGGATACTCTAGTGTGTACAGTGTCTCAAATATTAGAGCACTAGGGCTTTTTTAACACGATGGCTGCTCTGTATTACCTGTAATTTCAGTTGCCCAAGAGAGGCAGTCCTGGGTATTATCAGGGCTGGCTCACGAGCCTTCCCCACTACCCCTGATGTGCTGGAGTCTGGCCAGTTAGCCATGTCTGTGGTTGTTACCACCTCTGATACCAGTTAAGGCTGGGTGGAACATGAGTTACAACAGAGCTGGATGGTGTGAAAGCACAGAATACCCAGAGTGAGTGTTTTTGAGGAGGGGGTCAGTGACTACATTTGCTTTGAATGGAGAAGTTGCACTAAGGTAGGAAATAACCAATGTAATAACAAAGTTACAAAAATTAAATGGCCTTAGTGTCAATGATTACTCCTTTTTTGCTAAAGCACCACACTGTAGGCGATCTCTGTACCTTGTCATTTCTTTCACACAGAAACTTCAGCTTCTGTGCTTTCTTGTGCATAAATACTCCTTCCAGATTTCCTGTTTCCACAGAGCGTAGTTCAATTGCCTTCTCTCCCCAGCCCATGACCTGATTAGATTGAAGGTAAGCTAAAACAAACAACAAAAAGAGTAAAAAGAATTGATACTATTCAACAACTGACACACTGATTCTTGCCTCATTTATGCTAACATGGATCTGAAGCATTTCTCTTCAATAACAGTATGTTCTGAATTATTAAATTTACACGAAAAGCCTTAGGAACAGTAAGTAAATTTCAGTTTGTCATCTCAGACTTATTTTGGACTCTAGACATAACTCTTAAGTATGCTATTATTGTATATTTTACGATCAGGAAAGTTTGTAAGAAACCTCTGAAGAGCATATTGTTTAAGCGCCACCCCCAAAGCAGGGCCAAATTAGGCAGGGTTACGTAGGACCTTGCCCAGACATGTTCTGATGGGTATTTCATGGCCACTCAGAGCCCTGCTGCAATCCATCACTACTTTCAAGGTTAAAAAAATTTTCCCAACACATAATTTGCATTGCTTTTGGTGCAACTTGTGCCCATTTTTGTCTTTCATCCTTTCACTGTACATGCCCAAGAAAAGTCTTGACTCAGAATTCTCTATACCCTCTCATTAGGAGGTTTTGTTTATCTTTACTACAGAGTTCAGTTTAGTCTGAAACCTGAATTCTTCTGAATCTGAGACTATGGCATGATTAATTTGGTGTCCTAGCTGTTGTTGCTCGTAACTAGTGATCAGAAGACATCTTCAAAACCAAAAGATACTCCAGCACCATGGAAGCTTACTATGTAACTCTTTTAAATCTGACAAGTACGTGAGAAATTGGAATATGATGAAGGACTCAACACCACAGATTCCAAATTGGGCACAGTTTCAATGAGAACCTCGAATTAGTGCATGGGTGTTAGGGTAAAAACACACTAGTTATGCTCTATTGATAGTCACTGCTCAGAAATGGTTCTTCTTGCTCAACTATGAACTGTCACTTCATTAGTCTGAGAATTCTGGTGCACTGAAATGATGTAGAGGGAATGTGTACATTTGATTGGTTTTTAGATTCAATGGACAGTGCTTGCCAGCCCCACATTATTAGTGTGAGCAACATCTGTTCCTCAAAACCTTCCATTTAGGTTTTGTCTAAAAATCAAACTTTAAGTACACACTGACAGAGGAAGCAACAGCCATTAGAAGCCTACTTTAGAACAACAGCAGAAAATAAAGTCAATATGCCTGAGTGATTGTATATCCTTCTAGAAGTTGATTTTTATTGATTTAATATTAAGCGGAACCCTTGCTTTGTAATTCTTGTCATTATAAATGTATGAGAATTTTATCTTCTTGGAAATGTGTGGTTTGGCTACAGTGTTGTATTTTATGTCCCTCAAAGTCTATAAATTTCCCCTAAATCTGTTTAGTATACTTTCCTTTCAGTTATTAATGCCACTAGAGCTGAGACCAAGACAGTTCTTTTCCAGTATCGCAGGTATGTGGAAAGAGGAAGAAACCATCTTGTTTGAAAAGCAGAACAGTGAGCAACTGAGGGTAAATGGGAGAAAAGAAGGGGAGAGGATATTTTCTAAAAATCTCTTTCTTTATGCTTCAGTTCCTAGGCTGTATAACAGGATGCTGCTGCTCTAGGCTGCAAGGAAGACTGTCATGAACATTCCTGAACACAGCAGCTTGACAAGAGTAGGCAGCACCCACAGCGCAGTTAGTAGCTACAAAGGTATGCCCAGACCACACAAAGTGAAAAAGATAAAAATGATACAGTACTCAGCCACTTGCTTCTTTAGTGTTACAACTGACACCACATTAACCTTTACAAACTTGCTTTTGAACACACCAGAGGCAGGCACACTATGGTTCTGGGGGCTAGGACAGCGAGGCAGGTGAGTATATAAACAGCATGAAAGCATTCTATGGCTATGCTGTGGAGTATATAGGTCATGTAGGTCCAGCAACAAAGACCTAATCCACTTAAAAGTCTCCTTATTTTTTCCACTATGTGAAATCTGCACTCAAGTTGTCAATGTTCTATGTTTGTATCAGCTGTTTTCATGCCTTTGGCAGATTTCAACTTGATAGCATCCTTGCAGCTCTTGGAAACAGCTTGATTAGGTTCTGTTGCAACCTCTAGGTCATCCAGGATAGAAAGCCTGGATCCGTAACTCCAGTTCTCCCAGCAGTATTACAATAGGAACATAATTAAATAGAAGCACCAAGTTCGGCCAGTGATATCCTGCTGGCCAGCCAATAAACTGAGAACTTGTCAAATGACAATGGCAAATTTCAGGTGAAATACAAGTAACATAAAAACTCATTCTTGTAGCAGAACCGAAAGGTTCTTTCTCAAATTACATCTGTGGAATAACTTGCCAATAAAAGACCCCATTATATCATTTGTAGGGTTGTCAGTTCTGAGAATATATCTATACATGGAAATTAATTTGGAGGATAGCAGGCTGTGAATTCAAAGGTCAGTACTGCGTCTTGGTAACCTTCCCATGTGGGAGCACTTACAAGTGTTTCACGTGAAATGTAAGCAGATTAGATACTAAGAATAAAGCTGTCTTATTCTGGAACAAAAGTTCCTATTCTCTGAGCAACTTAGAAGTACGAATTTTGAGTCTACTTTCACCTCAGTAAGCTTTAGTTAAAAATATCCTATGCTTCCAGCTGGCAACATAAAAGGGTGTTTATATTACACGCAATACAAGATTGTACTGGCTTCCAGTAACCCTAGACTTTAGCCAGCCACTCTGGTCCTTTGGACAGTAACAGGAAAGGCATATACTGACTTGGGTGGATTTGCCAGTGCTACTTAATGTACTGCAACAAAGTTACTCAGAGATACCTGAAGCTCCCCTGCTTCACCCAGATTACTGCATATCTTAAAAAACTTATATTTGCGCATGAGCTGTGGTTCTTGTTAGACCATTTACACCAGCATTGCTCCTTGAACATCAAAGAACATATGCTATAAAGTTAGTATAGCAAAGTAAGTTCAAAATTAATTTCTTAACATTGCGAAAGCATTAGCAACACTCCAAACTTGGGGTGAGACTTGGCGTTTCCTGTTTATGCTGTGTATTAACATTAAGTTGAGTAGAGCCCACATACAAGGAAGTCACTGCTTCAAGGGGAAACGGTTAGGGAGATAGATAGGAAAAGTGAAAGAAATTACTGAGCCATACTGGATCCATTAACTTCTATGAAGCGTCACTGGCATAAGCTAATGATCTTGGTCTTGCAACAGCAGCCTGAACGAGGCAAGTGCACTTGGTACCACAGAACGAGGGTACTACTACAATATCACTTCCCTTTTTAACCTTTCCTTTCTTTTTCACACTGTTTCCCTTCAAAAGTCCCTTTTCTGATCTCATGCTAAATTCTGCTCACTGCCCTAGGTAGTTTTTCCCAATTGACTGATCTCTGCATGAGAGCAGAATCAGGCCAGCTTTTAGCAAAATATCATAAAATTGGGATTTTCTGATTAGTGTTACAGAAATAGGGCAGGAAAGGACCATAATGCACCTTCTCTGCCATCTGTATCTCTGTGCCACATCAGCATCTTCTCACAGTCGTTTCTCTAACCTGACCGTAAAGACGTCTAGTGATGGAGACTCCACAAATTCCCCAGGCAAATGATTGCAGATAAAGCAAGAAGTTCAGAATGAAAAAACAGAACATGAATTGCAAGATGCTGACCCACTTCTGCATGTCCAAGTTGTTCTTTGATATCACATGCCATTTCACAGAGTAAGAGTGCATGCTGCTTTACTGAATTCCTCTTTGGAGAGTCACAATGCACACAGCTGAAATTCAGTGCAAAAAAAGCTACTGAATTACGCTTTTGTATTCATGTTTGAGAAAATTGCTTTGGGCAGGAGTGCAGCTGGGCATGGACATTCAAAGGAGAATATCCAGTGGTGACTTTGCTGACACTAAAACACACAGATCTTAAAACTAAGAGCAAACACTTCTACAGAACCCCTCCTTTGGCCCTTCAGTCAAACCCAGTATGCTCTATGAAGTCATGATTTTTATTGGTTCCCTGCTTTATGGAAGGGAGACATAAAAATTGAGGACTAGGAATGGAAATAACTCACAGAGATACCAACCATATCCTGGGATGTAGCAAAGCTTGTTCCCACTGAAACGGAGCCTTGAGGTCCCCAGTGATGCTGCTGACCACTTATTAGGGATTGATTAACTACTTGTGTGTACTTGTGACTGTGCCCATGCTTTAAAACTTCCTGTCTCCAAAGTTAAGCAATTTGGGTTAGGGAAAAAGAGTCAGTAACTTCTCTTGTGCAATTCTGTTGTTTTACTGCTATTACTTATGTTACCTGGATAGAGGTGGGTATTTTTTTCTTCCAGTCACAGCTGTGGAGAACTTTTTCTAAGTGAGAGAGGCTAGAGAGTCCAAGTCAAGAAGGAAGAAACCTAAGGCTGAATAAAGTCGCAAATGGACAAATTAAGGAATTGGCCAGGGAAGGCAGATGTTCTTCTGCTGTATGTTTTGGTTAAATTGCACTGGACAAAGGGCAGACACACACAGCTCCCTAACCACCCCAAGCAAGTAAGAGTGAATTTATGTCTAAACCTTGTTATTTTGGGGTTTTTTTTTTTCCTAAACATGTATGTTTCTATGCATCTCTGTTCAAAGCTTCTCTGCTCCTAGTTTTTGCTCACTCCTTTGTAACTATTCCAGTAGAACAGATAACCCAACCCAGAAATGTATCTGCTTCAAGAACCGGTGATAGAGCACTGAGGCAGTAATTCAACCGTCTTTTGGTAATGCTGCCTGTTTCTCTACATAACATCCTTTTTGCTTCTAATGCATACATGACAAAGGAAATAAGGACTTTCGTCCTTACTGTTTCCCTGCTCTTAGAATATCCACTTTTGTGCCAACCCTCTAAGACTACACACTGTAAATAATTCATTACTCACACAAAAGGGCAAAAGTGCTCTCAACTCTTCCTAACTTAATGCTTCTTAAACCCTTTTTAAATCTTGTTTTATAGGAAGAACTACAGCTATATTTGTATTTAGCCCTACATATATGAAATATCTTTCAGATTAAACATACAGAGAGTACTTTGACAATTTTAATTTCCCAAAGGATCTTAGTTTCCTCTCTCCAATTTCTTATTAACAGATTGGTCACAGAGGTCTCAAAGACTATGTGAGTGAGCTATATTTAGACTCCCTGCCCTAAACCTATCAGTTATAATACAAACTATTTTTTATTTTATTATCCTCACCAACTACGTACGTTTTTTTTATCAAAATAATTGTTTAAAGAAATCAAGAAACAAGCAAAGGACGATTAGAGAGCATCCTGAGGTCAGTACAAGATCCTTCTATCTCTGAGACACAGTGAAAATTTTGAGGTAAAGTCACACAGACTTTAGAAGGTCTAAAATGAGCCTGGAAATTCCAGGAAAAACAGATCTCTTATGAAACTTTCAAGTTCTCCCTAAGTTTGGCCATACACATAACACAGTTATGCAATCTTCTCTCAGAATAGTTAATGCTTTTGTCTGGAGCCAAGAATTTCAAAGGATCAAGAAAATTAATAGAAGGTAGTGGGAAGCAATAATAAAATAGTTAACAGAGATCTTTGTTTAAAGTTTGAGTTGTGTGTTGGGTTACAGGTTGGGTTAATTTGTTTTTAATGGAAATATGATTCCAATCAGAAGTCAAACTAATCTTGTACCACAGAGACTGATAATTTCTGTTCCAAAGAAATAATTTCTGAGATACCAGAAGCGCTGCAGCAGGAACGCAGGGGTTCTCAAACTGACATACTGGATAATGTTCAAATGACAACTGAGAGGGGCTATTTGGAGACTGCCTCACTCCAGCTGTGGAATCTGCAGAAGTATACGGAATGAGAGAGACAGGTGGGTGAAGAGAGACACCCTTCCTTCCAGAGAAAACCTACAGTCTTTCTGAGCACTGGGAGAAGTTGTGCAAAGTTCTGTGTACTCAGCTCTCCTAACACTACCGTCTAAAACATGTGATCTAACTGACCACCTGCTTCCACAGCAGGAGTTTCATTACACCTATCTTCTCCCTTGATGGGCACCACCTTCTCATCTGGTGGTGCCCAATACAGAGAAAGTCTAAATTATTCACATAGACAAGACTCCTGACTTCTATACAGTAAAATTCACTAGACAGGGCTGCCACCCTCAGAAGCATCTTCTCCATCCTCTTCCTTATTAACTGCCTTAAAATACTGTAACAAAAAGCTTAGGCAACTGCTATGATTCATACTGATAGATTTCCCATGCAAATGATTATCATAGTGGTGTGCTGAAGAACAGGAGAAACAGCTGCATGACCAAGTAAAAAGGTGAATCTCCAAACGTCATTCCTTCTATTAAGATGTAATCAACCTTGGGAAATTGGGAATATCAGATGTATGCTGAAGGATGTTTTAAATTGGAGTAATTAACTGGCACAAAAGATCAGCTGGTCCAAAGTGGTGAAGTTTTATTCACTTCAATGCCAGCTGCTTATGTGCAAGGAAATTTGTGCTGAAGTTAAGGCAGTGTGATTTCCATGCTACAAGAATGCTTTACAAACCTGTCATCTCTCTGGGTCTGACAATTCAGTACGTTCAGCAACATTAGGAAAAAGGACTTAAACTCTCTCTGGTCAATCTGAGCCATTCCTGCAAACTCTTCTCTAGATTAAGTGAAAAAGCTTTGAGATCAATCAGTGCCCACTGACACAAACAAAATTTCCAGAGTCACAGATCTATGCAACCCTTCTTGCAATAGCAACGTCCTTTGTAAAGCAGGGTGTAAGAAAGCCCACATTAACTACTAACAGTGACTCTTTGGGAAATAGCATATAGTGAGAATAATAGCATATAGTAAGCTTGCTACTTTAAGTAGGGCCTAAGGAAGCATGTCCCATAATGACATGCTTCTTGAAAGCTTTTGTCTCCTTCAGATAGCATTTGTCAGCGCAGCTTCCAGTTATCAGAACTCTTCTTACCCTGGCTAATTGCTTTTTGGTTACTCATTGTTTCTCATGGTGTTTTTAACATTAATTCAGAGGGGATGTAAAACTTCAACATATCAAAGGCCACTAGATACTCCTATGAAAAATGGAGAATTGACTTGATACATTTTAATCATGCCCTGTAGTTCCGAATATGGGCTGAAAATTTGAGATAGGATGATTCAGTGAAGGGAACACTACATATTTAGCTTATAACCTTATACCTGTTTTTTGAAACAGAAGCAGTTTTGTTGCTGAATTTTATTGAAACAGTGCAAAAAAGTTGTGATTTGTGTTCCAGAGGTGGGCTTCTTGCCCTCAGTACTTTTGAAAACCCTCTACAAACGTCAAACCTGGCATTTATTCATGTTACTCTCCTGATTTTAATGGACTTTCCCTAAAGCAGCTAGAAGCCAGAGGAGAAAGGTGAATGTCCTCGATTTTTCAGTTTCTGCCAGGCTAATAATACGCTTTTGTACAACCTAAGTGTCTTGGGCTTTCTTTGTCAGTGTGTTTGTTTTAAGATGCAGAAGAATAGAAGTGAGCCAGAAAAGAAATTAAAAGCAACAAATAATAAAACCAAAACTCTCCTTTTGTTGGTTTTGTTTCTCCCCACACTGTTAACTTGAAGCCCTCTGGGGAAGGTGAAACAAACAGCTGTCTTGGCTGCAATACAATCAGAATCTCCTCCTACAAAGCCAACTGTAAGCATGGAGATTGAGAATCTATTAGAAATACCTGGGCTGGTAGCCCTGTGAATTTAAAGTGGTAAAATTAAGGGGCCATTTGACAGCAGTTACAGACCTCTTCACTAACTGATCTCTACAGTTGTGAATTTTCACATAAAATGCTACAGGCTATGAACAATCAAAGTAGGAATTGAGAGCATCTTTTTCCCCTCTGTAATTTACATAATTATCTCTGTGAAATCTGGTGGTAAGTTGCATCCTCAGTAAATTTTGGCTGTATAGTCAAGGTGTGGGGCAATAAACAGGGTGACAAGAATACAAACTGATCCAAATATGAAGACTCTCTTGCAGTCATTGGCTATCTTTACACAAACATATATACATCTGCTTACTCTTTACATGTTCAAACTTCTGAGTTTGCTCAGAACTTGCTTTATGTGCCACACAACCACTTTCGTATGGATACAGACCTCATAAAAAAGTCAGGCTTCATGCAGCAGAATCTTATATTTAGTAAAGTGCTATTTTTCATACATACCTACAGATGCTGGCATTTCTCCCCACTGTAAAACAGTCTCCTTTGTGAAATGCCCGTATATATCAATGTAGATGCCTTCATCTTCGTAGGTGAGTAAAAGCTCCATTCCGCTGGTATTCGGGAGGATGATAATGGCATGTGGGCGAATAGTCCCCTGGATCTGGAATCATATTTTACTACGATTTGTATCAGAAAATGGACTACAGTTTTAGTGACTACATCAATCTGACTACCTCAGCAGAGCAATATGAAGAGCTAGCTCATGGCTCATGGAAAGTGAAAGAAATGCCTGTGTTCAGAAAGGCTGTACAGTTTGCTAGGTAGCCCCTGAAACAGGCTTTCTCCCAGCCTCCCCCCTTTGAACATGACAGTAGGTTTGCAAACAAATCAACCGTCAGTATTTCAGTTTATATTTACCAGTATGAACTGGTTCAAGAAGCCATGGAGCCACTGAGACACAATAATATTTACTTTACTAATTTAGAAGACACTTGTGTTACATAAATAGAAGAAAGGTGAAGTAAATTTGAATTCACAATGATTTCAGAAGATGGAGGAAGGACAAAAGCTTCCACATTGCAGGAAACTGGTGCTTTCACTTTCCATGATATTTCCTTATCCCCACTCACAAGATAAAACTGTCAATGTCACGATATTTACAGCAAGTTGAAAAGTAACCTGGACCTTTCAAATACAAGCCATTTTCGGTCCTTCCTTTCCCATATCCTTCACTAAAAATAGTTCCCCATTTAAATGCTATTCAGCATATGTTTTCTGCATGCCACAAGAACAGTGCATTTCACTCACACAGATTATTTTAACAGCTGTTCAATGCACTAGAATCTCTCCCAGAAGCCAACATGTCCGAAGTGAAAAAAAAAACCAAACCCAAACAGCTCCAAGCATACAACCATGAAGGTGGGGTTTTATGAAAGCATTTTTGAAAGAAAAAGAGGACAGGCTTAAAAAAACATTGACAAAGCATTTCCTTGTTTAAAGCACTACTCAAACAGGATGTTAGATAGTGAATCAAACCACTACAATTCTTATTTTTATAGGAAGCATATGACTGGAGTTTTACATCATTCTCACAAGCCAGCAACACACAGATCTGCTCTTCAGGCACATACATTTACGCACACTGTAAAGGCACAATGAACAGGAAAAGAAGCACTGAAGCTGTACTTGCCAAACTGAATACACTCAGGCCAACCACTTGACTCCGTGCCTCCGCAACAACTATCCGTAACACTAGAACGGGGATCCAGAGTCGCAGAGCAATTTTAATGCGTTGCCTTGGTACTTGCATGAGCGATCGGAGCAGGTAAGAGATGAAGAAAGAGGTGGGGAACCAGGAAAAGAGGCTACCAGGAAGAGTATCTCAAGTCAGCCTGTTAAAGTCTGGTCTGTTGCCACCACAAAGCTCCTTGAGAGAATTATCCAATTCTAGCAGATGCTCTTTAAAATAATAAAATACCAAAAAAGATAGAGCCACTGTAGCAGCAGATTTATTTCAGGTATAAGACTCTAAAGGGAAAAAAGTATTTTTAGCACATCCCAACTTTTGGTTGAAGAGCACACACAAATGGAGTCAGCCTTAAATGTGCCCCACATCTTCAGGACAGTCACCTGGGAAATCTCTCTGATCAGGTACATAATTATATTTGCAGCCTGTTTAAAAACTAAAGCTTCTCAGAAGGTTCACTTTTTTCTTTGCCTTTCTTATCCTGGGCAATTATGTTAATGATCTTTTTGACAAGTCATTATTCACCTTGCTTAGCAACCAGCTTCCAAGGATGTATGCAGGCACCACGCGTAGATTTATAAACTGATACGAATTTGTCATAGTTGCACAGTTAACAAAGTGACTAATTATCAGATTAAATAAACCATCCTACAAAACAAATATGAAGTCCTTAAAAAATCCCCACAGAAATAAACAGTACGAGCTTTGAGCAGGTGATTCAATGGTTTGGCCTTACAAATTAGAAAGTTACCTTTTAATCAAGAGAATTTTATAAATTTATAAACAAACTTTTACACAAATTTTTTATGAATTTATAAATAAACAGCCATCCTCAAACACTGTCCATCAGAAACACAGGTCTGACAGGATCTGAAGGCTGTCACCTATCAGGGCAGCAGAGTGATCAAGTGCTGTGCACGGGAGGCGTGGGCTCTCATTTAGTTTGAAAACGTGGGGTTTGAGAATAGAGGAAAAGCAGTTAAAAAATAAAAAGGATCCAAGGCACAGGCCGCAACAATGGATCTGGGGTGAGTTTTCTTCAGACCTCCTGAGAGTGACTTCTGGCACATTGCCTTGGGATGCAAGGATCATGGCACCAGGATGCACCAACCCTCTGCCTCTGTGGAGCTCTGTTGACTTCAGGGAGGTTTTCAAGTGTGCACAGAAGTTCCCTTGCCAGGAGCCTACTATCAGACTGAAGCCATGAGAATCTGCTCTCTTTCTAGACCTAAGCCCCCATGTTTCTCTGGCTTTTTGGACTCACACTTCGAAAAGAACTATCTAGAATAGCTAGAAAATAAGCAGGCAAACAAACAGAAAAAGATTAAAACACAGCACAGACTTCATGTTGGGCAGCCCCATGCCAGTCAGTCATTTCTGCAGGGGAATTAATCTGTTATTATCTGAGTTTAAGCAGGAATTTAGTGATCACCATCACTTCGGTGAACAGACGCACAATGCAATATATACAAATCAAACTGAAATCAACATCTTCATGCCAACTTCTTGACAATCTAATGAGAAAATCCTGTGGAAAATGTAAAAATTCTTTTGAATTTAAGGACTGATCTCATGGGCAAGTGAATGGCAAGATCAGCAAATTTATTTAGTCTGGAAGTTGGGTTTCTGCAAAGTTATCACTGAAGGGCAAATCACATTTTGCACACAGAGCTTGGATCTGTAATCGTGTGAAACAAACTCAACTTTGCTCCATGGTGAAGAAATTGAGATTATTCATGGGTGCACATGTATACCTGGCTCCTCTACTGACACGTACATGGTGCAAGGGTAAACATGCTTGCAGTGGATCGAGGTTAAAATACATTGCAACAGTCTTTGTAATGCAGGCCAAATTTCAACTCAGTTTGAATTCAGTGATAATTTCATCAGCTTGTTGGCATGACAGGAAAGCACACTATCAGATTGTAAAAGTCACCTAAATTTACGTAGATATTATTGTGTCTTTGGTTGCTTAAGCCCTAAATTTCCATGATAAATCAATTAAAAATACTACGGTCCATACAACAGGCTTTCTTATATTAAACCATTAAAACTTATATTCTAGATGTGATAAAAGCCTTTTAACAGAACTTCAGTATTATAAAAGTATGTAAAAAGTGGTTCTCTATTAGCTGGCACATGACATTTATTCTCTTACCCTCCCTGTCTTCTGAAATACAGCACAACTCTTAACTGATCATCATTGTTACATAGCCTAAAGAACAGAGGCATTTACATAATGTTTTGGAGTATCTTACGTGTGTTGGAAGGTACAGGTCATACACAGATCCAGAGTCCACATCAATAGCATGAAAGCCTACTAGTGAGCCGTATATGACTTTTAATCTTTGTCCATTTTCAACGGTCAGGTCAACTGACAGTGGTTTGTGATGAAGTGAGGTAAAGGACTGGAAAAAGAAAAATACACTGTGTAGCACAATAAAGCTGTTGGTTTACAGATGTATATATATGATCTTACGAACTTCCAAAACTCAAAAGTTAGCTATATTTGTTAAATAGTATGTTAAATTTAAAGACGTGAGTAGCCATCATCTACTGTGTTGCAGGGAGAGCTGGGTAATTCACTTGGGCTTTAAAAAACACCAGATTCTAGAAGTGGACTAAGCAAAACTCAGGCTGAGTAACACTCATATTCAATTTCCTCCTCCTTGGAGGGAAATCAGCATCAGTTTTGTCACCTCAAATGTACGTTTTGGTACAGTGCTGAAACAAGTTATTCACATGTAACAGAATCATGACCGTGACAGTTTTATGCCTGCCACCTCCCATGCATGTCAAATGAACTACATTTTCTTTAAAAGAATACTCATTTTATCTTTAACTAGAAATAACTGTTAAACAAAGCAACAAAAAACCAAAGCAAAGAGTAGATGAGAGACACTGAGAGACAGCGCTCCATCTGAACCAGAGTGCAGTTTCACTTACCTTAAAAGCCATGAATTTGTGATAAGGCTTTGGAGCCCAAGCATAAACCTCCACTGAGTTTTTCAAAGCAATTACAAGGAATTTGATTCTCTCATATTTTACTGTAATATAAGAAGAACAATTCCTTAGGTACCAGACAGACACTTGAATTAAAGACCACCTCATCACATGAAATAATTTCAACGGGCTACTTCTAGAGGTAGACATTATCCAGCAAGAGAGGCTAATGGATTCTGGACATCAGTGTTTAATATCACCAGTGACAATACTTTGACTGAAAAGCTATAGTTCATTTATTCTTAGTAAAGCCAGATGACTGTTAACAACATTTACATACTGTTTTTCATAAGATTTATGAAAAAAAATCCCAAGTTATCTTAGTAGTCAGAAAAAAAGGTCTTGACCCTGCAGCTAAACCAACCTACTTTATTTTTAACTGTGAACAAACACCAACATTGCTGGTTGTGAACAAGCTACTTTTGGAGAAATAGAGGTTGGCTGAACAATTCAGGAACACTCTGCAGGATGAATTTTCATTTCACTGTTTGTGTGCCAGGTTAAAATCCCCATGTGCTAGTGTGGGTGAAGGACTCTCATGTTTCTGAGGTGAGTAAGCATTTAAGAGATGAGTAATTTGCCTAAGTTGATTAAGGTCACATTGGGCCAATTGAGAACAAATAAAGAATCATGCACTGAAAATTAAGGCCACGCTGTACAATGTGTTTTCTCCCTCTGCCAGAGACAAGCATTTGCTTTGGAAACAGAACACATTCACCCTTCATTTTATATTCAGTCTGCTTGGCAGGGATTTTTAAAAGATGCAGGTGTTAGATTACTGAAGTAAGGTTTAGTTTTGGTGGGAGGAGCCCTTGCTGCTTACAAAAGGAGCAGTTCCACTTGCCAAACACATAGCAGGGCATGAAGAGTGGATAAGGATGGACACTGGTCAGAAAAATCTCACATAGATAGAGAAAGAAAAACAAAACTGCACTCCACCAAAATGCAGAGCAGCACATCCTCCTGTTCTCTTCTATCTGGACAAATGGCTGTAAAACCAAAAGTCAAGATACAAGAAGATTCGCCAGGAGAAAAACAACAGCTGTTCTGTCAAAGTAGTAAGAGTGACTTGTCATATGCAAACACAGAAGTTCCTACCAAATGTTTTCCTGATTTTAAGATAACTTTTATTTATTTATTTTTTAAAAACATACCAAACCCAAAGAAAAGCAATTGAATTGGAAGATGTGGGTGCTTAGCTAAAGAAAGTACCAATGCACATCTGTTTCATGTTCTTTCTTGGATTTAACCCTTGTCACTTTTAGAGCTGTGAAATAGAAAGGTAAGAAGATGTCAAGCAAGTGAGAGCCAGTGACCTTGCTGCCTCCTACACTCCTGTGTATCATTTCTCTACTTAACTTTGGATAAAGTGCCACTTTTACATACCATCTGACACCAAAGCAAAACTTGCCCTGTACATCACATGCCCTCACGCAGTTAAATGACAGGAACTATCAGAATACTGATATTCAGTTTCAAGAATGAACTGCCCAAAAGCCGAATAAAAGCAAAATGCTTTTTGAATTGCTGTGGTACCATTTCCAGTGTGTAAGTTTAAACAAAGGTATACTTTAGTCTTTTATGATCTAGAAACAGGGATGAAGTGTAGCACATCCAATCTGATCTACCTATGGACATCCTACAAATATGACTTACTAGCATTTTAATAGTCTAGCTTCTTAGCAGTTACTCAGGGCCAGAAGGGATGCTGAACAGCATGGAGGGGGAAAACATCAATCTAATTAAAACCTTAAGTAGCTACAGAACTTTTAAACCACTGACTGAGCAACAGACCCAGGCTGGCACTCCCTTCTTCCAGCCATCACAGGGAATACCCATAACTGCTGCAAGAAGAGATGATATCTGAAATGACAGGAACAAAGCATCTACCATGTAAAACAAGGAGGTTTGAAAGAACTTGGAGATATTCAGGCCAATACAATCTTGAAACAAAGCTGGAGAAAAATGGTGGTGTCAGAAGACACAAAAGAATGGTAAAGCAGCTCTCCAAGGTAAAAACAGAGAGTCCTTACCAACTTTGTAGTGCACGCAGCCCTCCAGGTCACCCACAGACACCCAGCCTTGCCGCTTCTCCACCTCTGGATCATTGTGCAGAATTTTATTTCTCAGCCATGATAAGTAATACACCCTCAGCTTATTCTTCTTCCCTAGGATTTGTAAAAAAAAATAAAAATAAAAAAATTAAAAATAAAAAAAAGATAGACATACTGCTTTAACTCACTGAAATACAAACTCCCCCACACTTACAAAAAGGCAGAGTTTTGTGACCTTGAGTACAGTGGGTCTTTGGGCCTCATCAACATGAGAGAAGTGTACAGCAGCACAGAGCCATGTGGGATGGTGACACACAGGAGGGAACTGGAACATGAGGAGTCCTGTGGCATTTGGCACATGTATGCTTAGCTTATGACTCAAGCTTCATGCAAGACTTTCATACCCAAGTAAAATTCTTCCCTCAGGCCAAAGGACAGGTCTATAGAGACACATGCTTTACCAGAAATAATGACACTATCCAGCATTTACTCTTTGACAGGAAGTAAGGAGAACAGTTATGGCCTACAACGGCCATTTTGAATGAATTACTCCTTTAGTTCTAACTAACTGGCAATCTTCACTACAAGTAGCTATTTTCTTTCATATGCCTTTCCAGGTGAGAATTATTTTGTCATCTTTCATCTGTCTTTCACTTTAGTTCATAAGTACACACGGTCAACAGCAGCCTGGGATCACGGGTTAGTCTAAAGAGAACTGTGTCATATCATCAACTGGGCCTGGCAATATGGGACAAACAGCTCTCACCATTGCCTACAACAATGAGTCTGGATTGAAGACAAGGAGCTGCCATTCCTCGCTGGACCTACATCTCTGCCCTTATTATGGACTAAGCGTCCTTCAAGGCCACTCTCATCCATGGGGAATAAGAGTCTCGGTACCTTGCAGGGCAGAATCCAAGCTGTTGGTCAGCAGAGGCTGCAGATGCTACTTTATTTAATGTTTTCATAGTGCTTTTCACAGGTGCTTTCACAGTGATACCACTCATACATCTTGCTGAACATCGTATTTGAAAAATCATGGCAATCAGGTGGAGTTCCCAATGAATGGAAAAAGGGAAATATAACCCCCATTTTCAAGAAGGGGAAAATGGAAGACCCGGGAAACTACAGACCAGTCAGTCTCACCTCTGTGCCTGCAAAATCTTGGAGCAGATTCTCCTGGAAAGCATGCTAAGGCACACGAAAAACAACGAGGTGGTTGGTGACAGCCAGCATGGCTTCACTAAGGGGAAATCTTGCCTGACCTTTGTCGTGGTTCAAACAGCTGAACCCAGGACACCTTCTACGATGGAGCTACGGAACTGATGGACAGGGGCAGAGCAGTTGACGTCATCTACCTGGACTTGTGCAAAGTGTTCAACACTGTCCTGCACGACATCCTTGTCTCTAAATTGGAGAGGCATCAATTTGATGGATGGACCACTCAGTGGATAAAGAACTGGCTGGATGGCTGCACGCAAAGAGTTGTGGTCAATGGCACAATGTCCAATTGGAGATCAGTAACGAGTGGTGTCCCTCAGGGACTGGTGTTGGGAACCGATCTTGTTCAACATCTTTGTCGGTGACATGAACAGTGGGATTGATGCATCCTCAGCAAGTTTGCCGACGGCACCAAGCTGTGTGGCTCGGTTGATATGCTGGAGGGAAGGGATGCCATCCAGAGGGACCTGGACACGCTTGTGAGGTGGCCAATGCCAACCTCATGAAGTTTAACCAAGTCAAGTGCAAGGTTCTACACTTGGGTCGGGGCAATCCCAGGCACAGTGAAAGGTTGGGTGGAGAAGAGATTCAGAGCAGCCCTGTGGAGAAGGACTTGGGGGTGTTGGTTGATGAGAAACCTAACATGAGCCAGCTTCGGTGGTCACTCGCAGCCCAGAAACCAACTGTGTTCTGGGCTGCATCAAAAGAAGTGTGACCAGCAGGTCGAAGGAGGTGATCCTGCCCCTTCACTCTGGCTTGCGAGACTCCACTTGGAGTACTGCATACAGTTCTGGTGTCCTCAAATTAAGGACATGGAGCTGCTGAAGCAAGTCCAG